TCTCTCTCTCTCTCTCTCTCTCTCTCTCTCTCTCTCTCTCTCTCTCTCTCTCTCTCTCTCTCTCTCTCTCGAGCGCGCGGGTGCGCGCGCGTGTGTGCGAGCAGGGGTGCGCACACACGCTCATTGAGACCAAAAGACATGCAGCGGCAAAGGTCGGCCGGGAAAGTGCAATAAACAAAAATGAAACGCATTTTGTAGATCAGGCGTTCATAAAGGCAGGAGGATGGAGAAGAGACACAGGAGGGAGGAGGGACGGCGGAGGGAAAAATAAAAACAAAACAGATTTCTTGCGGAGGAACAAAGGAGGGAAGAGGAACGAGGGAGGGAGGAGGGACCAAGGAGGGGGAAGGGTCGAAGGAGGGAGGAGGGACCAAGGAGGAAGGAGGGACGAAGGAGGGGAAAACAAAAACGAAACGCACTTCGCGCGGAGGGGGGCAAAGTTTGGGACCGAGCGAGCGGGGGCGCGCACGGGGGCACGCACGGGGGCACACACGCCCTCGTTGAGACCAAAAGACAAATGCAGCTGCAATGGTGAGGCAGGAAAGTACGAAAAAAGAACATGAAATGCATTTTTTTGTTCGGGTGTTCAAAAAGGCAGGAGGATGGAGAAGGGACGCAGGAGGGAGGAGGGACGAAGGACGGAAAAATAAGAACGAAACACATTACTGCAATCAGACTCGTTCTCATTCACACTTTTCATGCATGTAAGCAGTAGCGCAGCAAGCTGGTGACATGCGCCCACACAAAACTCAGAGATATGGCATCCAGATACGAGCTCACTTTCAACTGGCTATGGCGACTCAGCGCCCAAACAACTCACTGTTCACATACACCGGATCACCCTGGATATCCCACACGCGTCACTCTGAACTCTCACACATACACACACACACTTCACACTAAACTACAGCTATGGCAGCTATGGATGCCTCTACCCTATCGCTATGCTACGCTCCTCCTCTCTCGCCCACTTCGTCCTTCGGGCATACTGCAGACCTCCTTGCACAAGTCGCTGTGGCAGCGCTTCCGCATGGCTCCCGCAGGAATGAATAAATGGCTGGGCGCTGCCTCTTGATTTATACTTTTGAAACTCGTTGGTCTGCCCTTTGCCATCGGCCCATGGTGCTCACAGTCCCTCGTGGTACTTGCTTGACTGACTCGGGACTGGGACTGTTGACTCAGCACGGTAGACTTTCACCACTTGCCCACTTGCCTCACCACTTGACCACTTGCCTCTGCCTAACCGTGGGCAACTACGAAAGGCCACTACTAGGACCTTCCGGAAGGCCGTAAACTTGGCCTTTTGTGACTGTAGCAGCTGCGACTCTGACCCTTCTGGACTGTAGCAGCTACGGCCTTGACCTTTCGAGAATACTACAGCTACGACCACTAGACCTGACTAGGACTCCTATTCGACAGGTCTACAGATCGAACCCATGTTACCTACGGACCCTATGACAACCTATCGACCGTTAGAAATACACAGGTCGTGGGTTCAACTCTACGGGACGACACAGGTACTGTACACAGGTAAGGTTGGGGTCTAGGGATCGAACCCTGGGATCTGCAGCAGCTATTGCTAGCTGGTGAATACCGTTTCACTCCCGCCGTCCTAAATTCGAGGTCCTCCGAGAATAATTCAGTCCAAGGCAGGACCTTTTCCTCTCTGATCTCTCTCGTAGGCTCTACCAATGTCGGGAGCTGTTTCTAGAAGTTCTGACCTTGTGAACCAGCGGTCATCCTCCGGCTCCTGATATGCAAACCGGACCTTGTACAGTTTTTGGGGACGACCTCTACCTCCTGTCCTGAATACATCTTCACCTACAATGTCGTCAATGTCATATCTGCCATCCATGTCAGGTGGGATCATGGACCGCCTAGATGGGAACTGCTGACAGGTGGCACACGGCAGCAACTTTGATGCGTGAAAAACAGGGTAGGTGTGGAGGTGTGCTGGGATCTCTATAGTGTAGGACGGTCCATCCTCTCCGCCCTTAACCTCTAGAACTGGCCACGGTCCTCTGTACGCGGGCAGTAACTTCTGCGAGATGTTCCCTTCAGGTGCAAACTCTTTAGCCTTGGCCCAGACTAAGTCGCCTACCTGATACTGTGACGGGCGACGGTGCTTATTAGCCTGTTCTATCATTCTGTGCTGGGCCTTCCTGAGGTTCTCTACAACGGTTGCTAGTTCTTTCGCGTGCTGTATCGCGAACTCCCGGGTACCGGGCGGTAGCCTGTGAATCTGATCCCAGTTCAGTCCCTCAAATGGTCTGCGCGGTCTAAAGGACTTGTGTAGCTCATTGGGAGTACGACAGGTGGACAGATGCACGCTGTTATTGTACGCGCTAGCTACCTTGGGTAACATCTCATCCCAGTCGATCTGATCAGGTCTAATGTACATGCGTAGAACTTGCTGGAGGATCTTGTTCATCTGTTCAGTCTGACCGTTAGTCTCTGGATGGCGGCCAGACGACATCAACAACTTAGATCCGTAGACTCTCATGACTGGTGAAACGACTATCTCTATCTCTAACTATCGACAATGGGATTCCATTCTCACTAACCCAAGAATCAAAGAACTTCCGTATAACTAAGTCTGTACGTGCCTCTGCAGGCGAAGGAACAAAAACTGCATACTTGCTAAATCGGTCAACTATGACCATGACTTGGCTCTTACCATGTCTGCTCTTGACTTGGGTGCCCATGAAGTCTATGGACACTAAGTCTCCCGGCTGATCAGGAATAGGCAGGGGTCTGAGAAGATTTTGAGGGGCACGCGTAGTGGTCTTGTTCCTCTTGCAAACTTTACAACTGCGAACATACTCTATGCAGTCATTCTTCATCCCTGGCCAGGTATACACATGCATTAGATTGGCTAGAGTCTTTTTCCAACCAAAATGTCCCTCAGTATCGTGGCATTCCCCTGGGATCAGACTGCGGATCTCTTCGCTGTTGGGAACGCACAGGCGCCCAAATACATTAGTCTTCTCAAACAGTAATCCCTCTATAGTGTGGTAATCTGGCTCGATCTCTGGGGCCTCTCTAACTCTCTCTAGGAGGGCACTATAGATAGGGTCCTGCGCATACGCTTGCCTCACTTTCTCCTGCAGGTCTCTCCCTATATCCTGATAGTGTACTATAGCTCCAAAGTAGTCTGCTCTTCTACTCAGAGCATCCGCAACTACATTAAATTTGCCCTTTACCGACTTGAGCTCAAAGTCATATTGGTCTATCTCTGCGGCCCACCTAGTCAACTTAGGTGTCATCTTGGACTGAGTCTTTAACCATCTAAGTGTCTCATGGTCAGAATACACTTTGAAGTCCCTCCCAAGCAGGTAATGTTTCCAGTGCTCTAGGGCCTGCCTGAGAGCGTAGAGTTCTTTCTCGTACGTGGAGGTAGCAACCTTCTCTGAGGGCATCCTCGCTGACATGAACTCTACAGGTTTGTAGCCATTGCCGTCATCTTGCTGCAACACGGCGCCTATCCCATACTGACTCGCGTCCGTGGTGACGACAAAGGGCAAAAATGGATCAGCTACCTTGAGGACAGGGTACTCTATTAGTGCGCGCTTCAGTCTCTTGAGCGCAGACGTACAATCCTTGTCCCCTCACAAACTTTTTATAGTAGTTAGCTAGGCCTAGGAACGACCGCAACTCTGTCAATGTGCGGGGCGTCGCCCAGTCTCTAATTGTCATTATCTTGCTGTCCTCTGTTAATGCCATCTCCGTCTAATACGTGGCCCAAGTATAGGACTTGTGTCTTGGCCCACTCGCACTTCTTCGCATTGATCTTGAAGTTTGACTCTCTCAACTTCTCCAAGACCTGCCTCAGATGACCCTGATGCTCCTGGAGGGTCTTACTGAAAACTAAGATGTCATCTAAATAAACTACGACAAACGTATCCAACCAGGGTCTAAACAGATCATTCGTGAAACGCTGAAATGTAGCTGGCGCGTTGGTCAATCCAAAGGGCATCACTATGAACTCATAGTGCCCATATCTAGTCCGGAACGCAGTCTTATACTGATCATCAGGATGGACTTCTATCTGATGGTATCTGGACTTTAGGTCTATCTTAGAGAAATACTTGCAACCCTGCACCCGATCTAGAAGATCGTCTATCCTGGGCAGCGGCTCAACATTCTTCACTATAATCGCATTCAACCCCCTATAGTCTATACACATACGCAACTCTCCTTCCTTCTTTGGGACAAATAGGACTGGTGCTCCAAAAGGAGACGAACTGAGCCTGATCCAACCTTTCTCGAGGAGCTCGTCTAACTGCTTGTGCAACTCCTCTAACTCTCTAGGGGACATCCTATAGACTGCTCCCTTAGGAGTTCTACTGCCAGGCTATATCTCTATACTATGCTGGATGGGTCGCGGCACTACTCCTGTCGGCGACTCAGTCAGGTCTTTGAATTCCTCCAGCAGTTTTGCTATGGTTGGATTTGTAGAACTGTTCTTTCTGGGCCTCAGTGGCAGGTCTAACATAAACTACAAAGACCTGCTCCTCTAGCCTCTCCTTCTTCACTAGTCGTGCAAACGCGGGAGCACTGAGACAGCAATGTGCTAAGGTGTTGTCTACACCTGACACATGAAACAGGTGGGCAGTCTTAACCTCGCCTGACGGGCTAGGGAGCCTACACTCATGCTCTCTCAAATGGAGTGTGGCCCCTGCTGCCTCTCCCCAATCCATTCCTAACACTACATCAAAAGGAAGGTCATCCTGTACGAGGAGAGTCAGGGAATGGAGAACCTTCTCCACCTTCCCATCCTTCTCTAGGCGAAAGTACGCCTGGACTCCCTCTACATAGTCCTCAACACGCATCGTGCGGTTGTCTGCGAGGACACTGACTATAGGGTCTGCTAACTTTTGGACTTTCAATCCTAGCCTCAGCTTCTTCAGCGCCCTACGGCTAATATAACTGCGGGTGGCCCCTGAATCTATAAGGGCCCCTACTCTGCTTCTAAACACTTCTACATCTACCAAGATCAGTTGTCCCTTACTCTCCTTCTTTATTTTGGCCCAGGCTGGCATCCTCTACTTCAGCTCTTATGCCACACCTGTGAGGGACGTGCCTAGAGAGACGCTAACACAAGCAGTCTCTGGACAGCTAGCTAGGCACGGGCCTGCAACCTCTGCCATAGGCTCATGTGGTTTGGGAGTTTCCTGTGTGCACGCGCTCGCTTCCCCACATGGCCTTGAAGTAGGGGCAGTTGCGACCCCTACTGGCGGCTGCCTTTTGACTGTTGGGCAGCCCAACGGGCCTATCTATACTTTGGACAAAATTTAATTACGTGGGCCGGGTCACCACAAAACACGCACTGACCCAAATCCACGCGTTCCTGCCATAAACGCTGGTCCAAGCCCAAATCCTCCTAGGGCCTGCCCTGTGGCAATCCTGGGTGCCATCCTCCTTGAGGTGCCCTTCCACCTCGTCGCTGTGGGGACCGATTAGAACCTTGGCGATTTGGCGGGGGACCTTGTCCCCTACCTCCCACTTGGCGGTTCCCTTGTCCGCCAACCCCCTGTGCGCCCGGCCCTCAGCCTCCCATGGCCTGGCCCCTTCGGCCCTGGCCTCCTCCTCTAACTGGCGGCCTCCCTCCAGCCGTGCCAACAGCATAGGACCTCCTCTGTCCCACACTACTGTCCTCCTCTAGGCCCCACTCAATCTGACTGTATGGGACCTCATCTGTACCACCTTCCTCTAGAGTAAGGATCATGTGATCCTTGGGGCTTTCCACCTTTTTCCCTTATATAGGTCCTTATGCCAGAAAGTGGAAACTGACATGGACTTTGACTCGAACAGGACGACTTCTCTACTCGATGCATCATAAGTGATGCCGACCTGTTGAGATTTGTCAAAGACATGCCCTCTCAGGGGCTCTGGCATGGCACGATAAAATAATTGAACCAACTGGGGCTCAGTGACCCCATGGTCTGGGACGGCTACCAAGTCGTCCATGGTGCCCTTGAGTGCCCTTGCACTCCTCCACTGTCGCGAGTGGATCGTTTGTAACTTATCACAGGCCCTGACGCCTCTCGTTGGATCAGCGAACTGCTCCCTCAGGAGCTTAAAGAATTGAGGAAGGGGGGTGACTTTTGAGTATGCAACCAGGTTGTTTTCACAACCGGCTGCGCGCGCAAGGGACCTGGCAAAACTAGCCGCCTCATCCTTAAGGGCCGAGAAGGCCACGAGGACTTGTTCGTCTGTCAGGATGTGTTGTAGATACACGTAACTATTGACACTGGCTTCCCAGTTGTCAAAGTTTTCCTCCTCCTTCCCTCCATATGCATCAGGGAATTTAAGCTTAACTGGGTCCTTGTGAGGCCTGGCCTCGCCCTCTACAGCGGCTATCGTTTTGGCACCCTCAATAGCGCCCTCACAAAACTTCCCCACATTATCTCTCAGTTGCTTGACTTCGCCCCCAATGTGGGTGACTATATCGCGCGCAAAATCTCTAAATCCCGACCGCATGGCACTCAAGGCTACTTCTTGGCTCCAACTGGCTTGGCGCTCCTCCATCCATGCTGTGCTCAGCATCTCCAGGTACCCCAATACCTTATCCCACTTGGCCTTATCATCTGTTTGGGCCTGCACTTCTTTCCTGCAGTCCTGCACCTTCGCCACCTCTCCGGTCAGTTTGTTGACTTCCTCTCTCCTCCTCTTCTTTTCCCTCTTCATCCTCAATTTCCATGCCAACTTCTACTCATCCTCCCTTTCTCGCCGTTCCATAGGGTCCTCCATTGCTGCTAGCTCACTGGCTAGCGCATCCCTCTCATCCTGAGTCATATAAGACTTCGCCTCCTCGTCTTCTCCCAACGATAAATTAGCGACCCACAGCTCGGATTTCGGGCCTACCGTGCCACACCGAGCAGCCCGCCGGTCAGTAACGGTCCTTGGGAGGGTTCGTGTCCTCCGGGACAGTCGAGTCGTCAGACACAACTTTTAGCCCTACTCATCCCGTGTGGGTTTGGTCAACAAGACCCTATCCTTCATCCACTGAGTACTATCACCTAGGACAGAAGAGACTCGATGCAGAAAGAATAGACAAACAGACTGGACTCAGCAAGTACCAAGGGGTGTGTGCACATCCATAGGGCGAGTGTTGCATACTGTAACGTGCAGACCAGAACAAGAACCGACCTTTCAATACAAAGTATAAGATAGCACAACGGAAGACTTAGATACCACTGATCCGAACAATCAATATTGTAATGCAGTCCTGAACATACATCATCATCATCGTTACATGGTGTGAATGGGCCTGGCGCTTCACGCAGGAAGACAGCACCAGCCCGTACCATACGCAGACGAAGAGTAAGGGGATTGACGAAGAGGAGGGGGAAGATGGGAATGTCGTCAACACCAAGTCTTCGGCACAAGCCCAAATAGTCCCTCCTCGAAATGGCTGAATCCCAAATGTCAAGTCTGGATCCAATGTCGTCAAGTCTCAAGTCACAACTCTGTCTCTCTCTGTCGTAGTCTGAGAAGTCAGGTGGCGAGAGGGTGAGAAGAGAAGGTGGACTTAGAAGAGGAAGAAGGAGAACTCTCTCTCTCTGTGTCCAGTACTAACCTGTGAAGTTGGCGCCTTGATGCAGGTACCACGAAGATGGAGCTGGAGCGATGGCGCCACAGGTAAGTAACACTGGCCTCCGCCAGTCTCCAGCCCAGTCTACGATCTACCACCAACCAGCGCCCAGCGCTGAAGACTACAGCTACAACTATGGCGCCCAACGCCGAAGACTACAGCTAGCGCTAATACCTACTGCCTAGCGCTGAAGACTACTGCAACGCTCCTCCTGAGTGCTGCGGCCGAAATCCTGACGACTACCCGTGCCTCCTGACCACTACCGTGAAGTGCATGGGAACTTCCTATGGGTGTGCCTCCTGAGCCTGCCGAAGGGAGGCAGGGGGTGCAGCTGCAGCTCCTGCTCAAACTCGTGAGGAACAGGCTATTTCTGGCCTGTTCCGCATCCCTGTTTACGTGCCTGAGTCTTAGGGGCAGGTCGAAACAATGAGGGCCTGAAAATGGCCGTCCGTTTCAGGCTGAAAACTTTGGGTCTGAAAAGACCCAGAAATAGGCTGAAACGGGGTAGGGCCTGCAGGCCCTCGTTTTTCAGCATCCAGGCTGAAACGAACGGGGCCTGTAAGCCCTAAGTTTTAGGCTTTTAGGCTGAATGTCCGGGACGGGCCCTGCAGGGCCCGTGTGGCTACGCAGTATGCCACAGCGAGGGACAGGCTGAAGGCTTGGCGAGATGTTACCGGCTCCAGCTTGGTCAAAGTCTTGGTCAACGCCTTGGTCAACGCCGGCCAACGCTGTGGTCAACTCCGGGTCAGCCCCAGGTCAACTCCGGTCAACGCCTCCGGTCAACTTATGATCAACCCTCCGATCAGCTACGGCTGCCGGCTTCTCTTTCGCTCGCCAACCCTCTTCTTCCTCTCACTTTCCTTGCCTCCTTTCACCCCGGCTGTCTTCTTCTTCTCTTTCTAATTTCTTTTTTTTTTTTTTTGATCGGCCCTCACTTCACCTCTCGCCTATGGCCTCCTTCTCTCCCTTCTCGGTCTCTCCCCTTCTGTCCAGTATCTCTCCCTCCTTCGTTACTCCGCGGTGACACTCCGCGGCTATGGCCGCTTCTCCTTCCTCCACGTGGGACTGCACAGTTCGCTTCACAGGTATGTGACAACCAAACTTGTATCGCTCATCTCTCTCTCTCTCTCTCTCTCTCTCTCTCTCTCTCTCTCTCTCTCTCTCTCTCTNCTCTCTCTCTCTCTCTCTCTCTCTCTCTCTCTCTCTCTCTCTCTCTCTCTCTCTCTCTCTCTCTCGGTCTTCTTCTTCGTCCTGATCTTCTTTGCAGGTGCGTGGCGGCTTCTCCAACCTCAGGTCCGCTATGGCGGACTACAGCCTTCGGCGGCCACCTCGCCTATGGCGCATCAGGCCCTGCATACGACGGCGCGCATGGAATAGCGGGTACCAGCTCCGATACCAATGCAATCAGACTCGTTCTCATTCACACTTTTCATGCATGTAAGCAGTAGCGCAGCAAACTGGCGACATGCGCCCACACAAAACTCAGAGATATGGCATCCAGATACGAGCTCACGTTCAACTGGCTATGGCGACTCAGCGCCCAAACAACTCACTGTTCACATACACCGGATCACCCTGGATATCCCACACGCGTCACTCTGAACTCTCACACATACACACACACACTTCACACTAAACTACAGCTATGGCAGCTATGGCTGCCTCTACCCTATCGCTATGCTACGCTCCTTCTCTCTCGCCCACTTCGTCCTTCGGGCATACTGCAGACCTCCTTGCACAAGTCGCTGTGGCAGCGCTTCCGCATGGCTCCCACAGGAATGAATGAATGGCTGGTCGCTGCCTCTTGATTTATACTTCTGAAACTCATTGGTCTGCCCTTTGCCATCGGCCCATGACTCAGCACGGTAGACTTCCACCACTTGCCCACTTGCCTCACCACTTGACCACTTGCCTCTGCCTAACCGTGGGCAACTACGAAAGGCCACTACTAGGACCTTCCGGAAGGCCGTAAACTTGGCCTTTTGTGACTGTAGCAGCTACGGCCTTGACCTTTCGAGAATACTACAGCTACGACCACTAGACCTGACTAGGACTCCTATCCGACAGGTCTACAGATCGAACCCATGTTACCTACGGACCCTATGACAACCTATCGACCGTTAGAAATACACAGGTCGTGGGTTCAACTCTACAGGACGACACAGGTACTGTACACAGGTAAGGTTGGGGTCTAGGGATCGAACCCTGGGATCTGCAGCAGCTACTGCTAACTGGTGAATACCGTTTCATTACGGACGGAGCGACGAAGGAGGGAGGAGGAACGAAGGAGGGAAAAATAAAAACGAAAAGCATTTCGTGTGGAGGGACGGAGGAGGGAGGAAGGATGAAGGAGAGAGGTGGGTCGAAGGAGGGAGGAGGGACCAAGGAGGGAGGAGGGTCGAGAGAGGGAGGAGAGGCCAAGGAGGGAAAAGTAAAAACGAAATGCAATTTGTGTGGAGGAGGGGCGAAGGAGGGAGGACGGACGAAGAAGGGTAGAGGGACGTAGGGGACGTAGGAAGGGGGAGAAGACGAACTGTGTTTCGTGCAGAAGGGAGACGAAGGAGGGAGGAGGGGTGAAGGAGGGAGGAGGGACGGAGGGGGGAAGAGGGACGTAGGAGGGAGGAGGGATGTAGGGGTGAGGAAGGACCGATGAGGAAGGAGGGACGAAGGACGGAAAAATAAAGGAAACGCATTTTTCGCGCGCACACATCCTCTTGCTCTCATGTCACAGGCCGGGCGCGCATTTTGTAGGTCGCGCGTTCAAGAACGGAGGAGGAGGGAGGAGCGAGAGGAAGATTGCAGGACGGAAGTCGGTGGAGAGAGGGGAAGGTGTTGAAATTGGAATCGGTGACAGAGGATCGGACGGGAGGGGTACGAAGGTGGGCAAAGAGGGGAAGCCAGAGAGAGAGAAGGGGGGGGGGGGGGGGGGGGGGGGGGGTGATGTTCGGGGGGGGGCAATGCTACTGAGCTGAGTCTCCCATCTTGGAGCGGCGTTCAGAGAGAGAGAGAGAGAGAGAGAGAGAGAGAGAGAGAGAGAGAGAGGGGGGGGGGGGGGGCGTGGGTGTGGGAGAGAGACAGAGTGTGTGTGAGTGTGTCTGCGACAGAGACTCAAAAAAAGCATGACTGTGCCAGACTGTTTCGTCGGACTTTCACCGACTCATCAGGAGGTTGAACCCCGACAGTCTGCCCAGGATGCATTTGACTGGTGGATAAGGACTCGCCACATCGCCCAGAGTTAGCGATACCCCTGAGAAACGTGTCTGAGAGAGAGAGAGAGAGCGTCGAGCTCAGGGCACTCCACGACACAGCGCAAGTTGCTTCACGACATGGCGTACGCGCTACAGGGGCGAAGTACAACTGCACGCGACAACGACGAAAGTTGGCGTAGGCGCTTCGCAAGGACGCTCACGACAGCCTAGGGCACGGCCCGTTGAAACAGAAAAAACACACGGCACTCTACGGCGCTAAGATCTGGGCCTTCAGTCTGGTAGGACCCAATGGCCTGGATCTCGGCGCACTCTTAAAATCTTAGGACTGCGTGGAGATCCAGGTCGTTGGGTCCTACCAGACTGACGGCCCAGATCCTTCTGCAGATCTGGGCCGTGGGCCGGTAGGATCGACGACAGCCTGGATCCGAGATTTTTTTTTTTTTTTTTTTAAACCACCACTACCTTTCCCAGGCAAAAGCAAAGTCCATCTAGTAGCCTACTCCTGAAAACACGGGGCTCGGGGCAGGGTTGGAGGCCGACGAAAAAAAAAAGAAAAAAAAGAAGAAAAAAAAAGAAAGAAAACKAAGAGTCCCCACTCCAGGGATGTCGGGAAAKGCCCTCACGAGGGTGGAAGTTATACCAGTGCTTGGAYGAATGTATCTGGCCACTATGTCGGAAAAGGGATTGCARGTCGKTTTTYTTYTTCTTTTTGTTTTGAAATCCTTGTAGTGCCCTGCCAGCCAGGCAGGGCGTGTTTCACGGGTGGCACGTAACTGTCTCACTGCTGTAGCATCATGTATCTGCTCTCAATCACAGGAAAAGGGATTCCTTCTTTTTTTTTTGTTGCTTCTCTGTTTTTTCCCGTACACGCCCTCACTGAGGGCACAGTCACACAAGTACCTCATAGAATGTATCTGGTGGTTATCAAGGCGTTCGGGTAGTCTCTTTTTTTTCTTTTTCTTTTTCTTTTTTTTCCCCTTCTTCTTTCTTCGATGAAACTGCCCCGGCTCGCCAAACTCGGTGCTCAGTGAAAATCAGGGTCGGCAAAAACAGGTTTGGAGGTAGTGGTGGTTTAAGCTATATTCTTCTCTCAATTTCACCCCACACTACCTACCTACCACTACTCCTAATTGTAGGCATAAGGGGAACCCTGTAGCAGCCAGAACCGTGTTCACGAGAGAACATGCGGGGGCTGGTCCCGACCTGCAGGTGGGCGATACCGGCTAGGGGACAGCCGGTAGCATCAGGGACCATGCCAACAGGACCAATCCCTGTGCCTCCCCTCAGGTCCCCTCCCCTATGAACATCAGCAGACTCTGCTAAATGCCAATCGGGGGATCCAGTGGTCTGTCACTAGGTGGCGGGCGCCAAGCATGCCCAGGAAGGTACATGAGGCCAATGGGGATTGAACCCACGACCTCCTGAATGCCACTTAGCGATTTTAGTAGTGCAGGGATTATTCGCATATTCACACTCCAGCCTTGCATACCCGTGGCAACCCAATGACAAGCTCTGCTTTACTCACCTTGTTCACATGGCGTAGGTCTTCATCGGCCAAGCAGTCCCGCCGACAGTGCGCCCCTTCTTTGCAACCGTCCAAGCTCAGTGACTTCCATTGGCGATTCATTGTGGCTGTTTCTGAAGCATGAGTCTCCTGAAAAATGGGGCTGCCCTGGTCGAATTCATCATCACTATCCAAACTTTTACAGCCATCCCAGGTCTCTGACGACTTCACCCCTGGTGTGCCGGACATGTTCAAATATCTTCTCCTATCGGTGTAACTAAGCCTGCCTTGATCTGCCATGATCACCTCCGCATTGTGGCTACGTTCCAGTGGCAAACGGTGAACTGAGGCACTGTCCATCTCCCCTCTTATGATAACTCTGGTAGAATATGACCTACTTACTCGGCTCAAAAGGTCAGGAGGAGTCTTTGGAGGTGTTCCACTCTGATGCACATCCGCACTGCATGCATTGGGTGAAAAGGAACAGCGTAGTCCATCTTCTTCTGCTATATCACAGTCAGATGAGCATTTACCTTGCCATTCCACAACCTTGAATTCTTCATGCATGGTTTTTTGACGTGTATCCATCACTCTAGCTTGGACACCACCTGGCCTCCGTTTGGCTTTCAGTACTGAAAGATTCACTTCATCACTGCAACCAGTCATTTTGTGAGGACTTCCTGACTTACTTCCACTCCCACGGAAAAGCTCTGCAGTACCATTACGTGACTGTCGCATTACTGAGCCAGCTTTGATTTCCTTCTTCTGTTCCAGTGCAGACACTTTTCCTGACTGCAGAGCACCATTTTGAGGTGTAGTTGAGCACTCCATGATTGCCTTTTTGTCATGTACCCCAACCTCTCTCTTCTCAAGAGGCAGCTGAGCATGGGATTTCCTGGCGTACATTTGGCCATCTCGAATGCTCTCCTTCATTCTTCCAACTGACCCGAGGTCACAGGACCTCCGCATCCTGGTTGAAATTGCAGAGCGACTTCTTGACAAACCGAGGTCACTATTCTTCCTAACACCTACCTTTGTGACATTTTCTTCAGTACTGATGGACCGTTTCGACAAGCTCCTTGATATTGAGGGTGTTGCCTTCCTGCTTGTCGTTTGCAGTCTAATAGTTGGATCATCGGATCTCTTACTTGGAATAGGCAGGCCGGCTGGACTTTGTCTGCCCTCTGGGATTGGCACACTCTGCTCAATCACAGAGCTACTTGAGGCATTGGGGTGTGACCTTTGGGATAAGCAACTGTGTCTTGTTTTGCCTATCCCATTGATTATGTCGGCTGCTTGAAGTGGTGCAGATTCAAGTTCACATACAGGAGAGCTCCTACCACTATATGAACTCCCAGAGTCAAGGGACTTGCCAGTTCTAACTCCATTTCCCATCACTTTCGTGTTTGGCCTTCCAGCCCCCCTCCATGGTGACTGCATCCTGTTTGGTGTGGAAATTTTGATAGACTCAGCCACAGGGCTTTTTCGTGAACATTGCAGCTTATCCCCTGGAGGACTTCGAGTGCTTCGCAGTACTGCGCTTCCCCTTCCACCACAATCATCTGCGCTTTCCATTTCATAAAGGGAGCATCGTCTGCACCTGCCACTGTTCCCAGAGTCATCATTTTGACTGCTAGCTCTTGTACTGCTAGCTGATCTGGCCTTGACCACAGTGTGACTGGATTGCGCACATGGTGACGGGGATGAGACAGAAGCCCGCCTTCTACCTAATCCATCAGGCATTAAGCCATTCCTTAGTTTTCCCTGTCCTTCCTTTGTCGAATACAAGCTTGAAAAGAGGCCTCGTGGAGAGCCTTCACGGCATGTTTCATGCCTACCCCCTCTGACACGGAGCAAGTCCTTAGTAGTTACTGTACAGTCAACATCAGTGACGCTTCCAGACCGCCAATCTATCATCCTGCCACAACTTTTGCTCCTGATTTGATCCTCCCTTTCTTTGCTTTTCATGTCAATGCTATCAGACTGGTGCAACCATTCGACCTTTACTTCGGACTCCTTTACTGTCCGGAGAGGATCACAGGCACTTGGAACCTCAACCCCACTATACTTCCCACCTGAAGGGGTAGTTGCCTGCATCAGCCGTTTGTGATGCTCCTCTAGGAAAAGATCATGGTTAGAGTTGCTGTCAGAGTCTCTGTCTGAAAAATCTGAGTGTGGAGCATCCATGTGCACTGACTGGCAATAAACACGCTTGCTTTTCAATTTATTCACAAGTGAACCCTTCCATGAAAAATCCTCTACAGCCACATGCTCACCGCAATTCAGGTGGCTTGCCCGCTTGCTTCTCGGTGTCACTTGCCTCCTTGATTCCAAAGAGACAGACGACTTCAAAGGCAGACTCAATAGACCATTATCGACAACTTTCTTATCAGTGACAAAACCAGATTGCTTCTCTGGGCTGGACATGCAGGAGTCCTGGCGATGCATGGTGTCAATGGACTCCTGCTTCCTCTCTCTATACCTTCCTCCTAAGGCCTTCGCATCCACAGGCTTCCGAGAAAGCGCTTCATTCATCACTGATCTTCCTCGTGATTTCAATCTACTTCTCCCCTCCTGGTCCATCAGCCCTGTCTGGTTACCACTCCCATTCCTCTCTCCCATTGTTGGGAGGTAGACATCCCCTCCTTTGTGTCCCATGGAAATCTGCTCATCCACGCTTTCATCAACACTCAATCTGTCATTTTGCACCACTCTCCCTCGGCCATTGCGGTGTGGTGGCACTGCCATTCCTTTCTCCACAGTTTGCACATCATCACCTGCCGATTGCACTTTCGCATTGCCATTTTGGCCCACCTGCACTGGCCCATCGGAACCAGCCTTTGCAGATGAGAAGAGCCTGCTACCATTTGCATCAACTGATCAAAGTGCCAAGCACAACCCACATAACGGACAAAGGGAATGTCAAACGTTCAAGCCCATGGGATTAGAAGAAAAGGGAACCTCCGACTGATTGCAACGGCAGGGATACCCATCCTCTGCAATCTAGGCATGGGGAACACTTCCTTTTTTGTGCCCCACAAATGATTTTGGATCATTTTATAACGCACAACCACAATAATTTTGGATCATTTTATAATGCACAACCACAATGATTTTGGATCATTTTATAATGCACAACCACAATGATTTTGGATCATTTTATAATGCACAACCACTATGATTTTGGATCATTTTATAATGCACAACCACAACGATTTTGGATCATTTTATAATGCACAACTCAAGTCCAAATCATAGTCATGAAGGAGACAAAGAAGAGGGAGAAGAGGAAGAACAGGAGCAAGTAAATGAAGCAGAGGAAGAAATGAAGAAAGAGGATGAAGAAAGAAGGAGAACAAGGACTTGGAACGAGGAGAATATCTGCAGTAACATATTAAGAGTGTAAGGGACTCAGTAGGCACACGCTGCCCACAAGGGTGGAGAAGTGGGGGAAAGAAAAGGGCCAGCATGCGACATGGTCAGAAGGGCTTACAAAAAGAAGGCCTGAGATGAGAATCCCTCTTACCTTTTCACGCCTGAACTGAAAGGGCACCTGTCTCAGAGCTTAATCACATTAGTGCTTTCCTTGATGTATCTCACCACGTTTGCAGTCAGAATTCCTCACGCGGGGTTTGTTCACCACTGGTTCCCACTGGGAATCTTCCCAACTATCGTATTGGCCTGGTGGGGCAGTGCAGCTGTTATGAACTTGGTTGTCTGACGATTTTCACCGCCACTCACACACAGACAGTCTCATACACGCCCATACATGCATACGAAGAAGGGGAGAGGAGACAGAGTACACACTGTACATAGATGAGAGTAGGCAGCAGAACATAACCATGCACAGGTGTGGAGAAGACACAGTGTTTCTCACTCTCTGACGAAATCTGTTATGAACATGATTGTCGGTTGAAATTTTATCAACGCTCACTCACAGGAACTCCCGTACACACCCATACATGCACAGAAGGAAGGGGAGAGGTATAGAAGACAACCGAGTGATCACAGCCAGAAATCAATGAAGAGATGACAACTCAAACACAGTATTACAACTGTTTATTAACCTCAGAGCATCGTACAACCCTATTGCGCTACCCTCAGAGGGGTAGCGCCTCAACCCCACACACACCGAGCAGCTAAAAGTAGAACCAGAACCCCAGGTAACACCCCGCGCCACCCTGACATCCAACTCAGTGGCCTGCGCCAAGATGAAACAGGCTCCCAGAGCCAATCGCCACCCAGATGATGAAGAAGAAGCTCAGTGCCAACAGTCCCTGATGAAGATGAAGTCCAGACGATGATATCCTCTGAGAAGATGCAGCTATGGCAGCATCGCCACTGCGACCCTACTCCTGAGGAGGGTCAGCAGTGCACCACGTGCTCCAACGCATCAGACCTCTGATAGCCCAGACCGCTTTGACTCCCAAAGAGTCAGAGCGGACAGCGTTGACCCCAGTCTGGTCAGCGCTCCGTAGGTTTGGCTATGTCCGTCGTCTCCACCACTGAAATCACAACCACGACCTGATACCGTGTGCGCAGCAACTTCCACCACGAAGTGTCAGCTGCCAAAAGCCCAGGACCGATGACCCCATCCTATCTATACTCTCTAGACTAGCCTAGACACGACCTAGACCGGACTGACTGACCGACCGGTACCGTTTCTGTTTCGGCCTCTAGGGCCTCTCCCTACCCGGCTATAGGCTAAAGGACCGTCTATCAGCGTAGGCCCATTGGGCCTGTCTGTCCTAGGGGTAGCCTGGTTCTGCTATTCGCAGTTAAGGTACCTGTAGGAGATTCGAGTTAGTACCGGGCCCATATCTCCTATATTTACAAATACGTCCCTCACGAATTTTCCTTACAGGTAGGTCTCTCGGTTAGCCCTCAGCCAAACAAAATTACAAACCTGTCCCTACCTATGGCACAGCCTCGTCTGAGAGAGGCTACAGGCAACCTAGAACCAGCAAGTCATTGCAAACCTACCCTCCCCCAGAGCGAGGATCTCCGAGCTAGGGGCGTAGGCGTGCAGAGCATCGAAGGGGTTCTCAACTTTGCGCAGCCTCATATTTGAGGATAACAGACTTTGCTGTTATCATAAGCTCCTTGCGAGTAAACCAGTGATCCTCAGTATGGGGCTGGTAAAGAAACTTCACAAGGTACTCCTTATCCGGGCATGTACCATACTCATCCTCAACTTTTTCCACCTCATATCCCTTCCCAGGGATCGGGGGACCAAATTGAGGAGGCTTGTCTAGAAATGAATCAGCTGGGACAAACGGCAACAGCTTGGATGCATGAAAGACAGGGTAGGTTTGTAAATGCAGTGGGACATCCACGTGATAAGATGGCCCAAAAGGGTCAGCTCCCACTGTATCCAAAACCTGCCATGGACCCATGTAACGTGGCAACAGCTTGGGTGAAATGTCCTCCTCCCACGATAGCTCAGAACTGAGTACCCAGACCCAGTCACCAGCGCGGATGGGGGATGGTCGGCGATGCTTGTTAGCCTGCTGAATCACAGCCTTTTGGGCTTTGAGCAAGTTAACTATGGCTCGTTCGATATCCCTCTCGTACTGTCTGGTGAACGCTGCAGTCCCAGGAGTCAATCTGGGGGTAGCCTTATCGATGATGTCATCGAGAGGCTGCCGTGGCTCACGTCCCCAGTGCAACCGATAAGGGGTGAACCCTGTGGAGGAGTGTACAAATGTGTTGGGGTGAACCCCGTGGAGGAGTGTACAAATGTGTTGTACACTAGCTGATCAGGGCTGATCACAGGACGCAGCAACTAGAAAAGAATCTGGTTCATCACTTCAGTCTGCCCATTCGCTTCAGGATGACGACCAGATGTCATATCCAGTCTGGAATGGAGGTAGTCCTTGCAATAGGACTGCCACTCATTGCTGCAAAAACGCAGATCTCTATCGCTGACAATGGAGGTGGGTGGTCCATGATGAGTGACCCACCTATCTGCAAAGGCCGCCTGCACGGCCGGGACTCTGACTTCCTCTAGCAAAGGAATAAACTCCGCGTACTTGGAGAACCTGTGAGTGTACAGATGTGTTGTACACTAGCTGTGCCCGTCCTAGATGGAGATCCTAATCCTGTTGATCAGGGCTGATCACAAGACGCAACAATTGTAAAAGAATCTGGTTCATCACTTCAGTCTGCCCATGGGCTTCATGATGACGACCAGATGTCATATCCAGTCTGGAATGGAGGTAGTCCTTGCAATAGGACTGCCACTCATTGCAGCAGAAATGCGGATCTCTATCGCTGACAATGGAGGTGGGTGGTCCATGATGAGTGGCCCACCTATCTGCAAAGGCCGCCTGCACGGCCGAGATTCTGGCTTCCTCTGACAAAGGAATAAACTTCGCGTACCTGGAGAACCTGTCCACACACACCATGACCTGACGCATACCGCGAGGAGTGGTCCTCCCCAGGTCAGTGAAATCAATAGCCACTGACTATGTTGGTGCATCAGGGATGGGGAGTGGCTGCAGCAGGCCAAGGGGAGGTCGGCGAACGACCTTGTTCCTTTGGCACAACTCACAGGTCTCAACATACTGCAGCAAGTCTTTCTTCATCTCCGGCCAGAAGAACCGCTGCGACAGGGCCGCCAACGATTTCAAGGCCCCAAAGTGGCCGCGAGCATCATGACACTCGGACATAATGAGTGTTCTCAGCTGGCGGTCCTGAGGGATGGTTCCTCTCCTCTGCTGCAAGTGTACAGCAGATCAAAAACCAAAATGTATCCTGGTTCAGAGGCAAGATCGGTCTGCAGATTCCTGACAATCGGGCCAAAAATCGAGTCCTGCGGCAATAACTGGGCAATGGTCTGACAGGTGCTCTCCCCAAAAGTATGAGTAGAGGAGATCAGGCAGAGAGCGTCAGGCCTACGAGAAAGGGTGTCTGCTACACGATTGTAGCAACCCTTCTTGTGTTTCAGTTCAAAGTCAAACAGATCAATGAACTGAATATAGCGCGCAAGCTTGTCATTCAGTTCCCCTTGGGTCTTCATCTACTGTAAGGTGGAGTGATCTGAATAGATCTGAAAGTGTCTGCCCATGAGGAAATGCTTCCAATGCTTTAGCGCTGACACTAGAGCATACAACTCTTTCTCATACGTAGAATCCTGCAGCTTCTTCTCTAATACTATAAAGGAAATAGAGGGTCTCACGTGACGGTCCCACGCGAGCACCCGTTGCCAGCGTAGGGAAAAGTCGAGACGGGCCCAGGGCCCATGCTAGGAGCGGCCGGCGAAACGGCGCCGCGGCCAAACGGGTCGGGACCCACGCGAGCACCCGTTGCCAGACGGGCCCAGGGCCCATGTTAGGAGCGGCCGGCGAAACGGCGCCGCGGCCAAACTGGTCGGGAGCGGGTGGGGAATTGACGAGCGGGCGGGGAAATAGCGAGCGGGCGGCTGTGCCGCGCCCAAACGGGTCGGGAGCGGGCGGGGAATTGACGAGCGGGCGGCAGAGATGTGCATGTCGGGGGGGTGGGCAGCGAG